AACACCATTTGAATTTTTAGCAACACCAGAGAAAATTTAAGACTGCAGCTCAACCATCATTTTTAAATCCCCTTGAAACCACTTTTTTTAATATTTAATTTTCTGTAATCTATTTATAATGTGAAAACCCTAAACTGCAAGATGAAATCACTGGACAGTCTCTTTTTAAAAACCGTTTTATTAAAATTCAGATTTGTATAAAATAGGCACTGACTTGTGTATTTTCTAATAACCCATTAAGAGAAGTTTCAAATCAAGCTTTAAAACGTGTTATTAACCATCTACCCAGCCATTTGAAAGATACATGCCTGTGATAAGAGTATTGTATTGCCATTAACCTGTGGGATGGTTCGAGACATCTCTTATTCACACAAAACTCTAAATGCATCTAATTAAAGCCACAAGATCAGCTGTCCATATTAATCACTCACTAGTTTAATTAAGGTAAACCAGCTTGTCAGAAAGCCAGTCTTCTCTCTATTCTTCACCATTATCGACTTTTAATAGTTCACTGGATTAGTAATTACTTGTTTATGGCATTATCAAATACCTGGGAGAGAAAACCACAGTCTGTGCCCAAGAACTGCTTTAGGCTGACTCTCACTTGGGACACGAGGAGAAATTTACCCCATCAGATAAAGTTTTCTAAAAGTCCTTACAACGTGATTTAGACACAAGAGAAACAAGTGGAGCTACAAGTATCTTAACAAGAGATGCAGGCACGGAAGTTCCTTTGGTGGTTACCCCGATTGAAGCAGGCGTTCCGAACCCTAAGCCGGGGAAAGGACGTCAGTGACATTTCTCACTCACTTGTAAAAGTCACATCTGTCACAGAGTGTGCGAGAGCAGGCAGGCACATACAGTGCTGCTCCTCAAGGGACAGCAACAAAGCTCCAAGTCCTACAATTAAACATCTTCTACAGGATCAACTCCTTTCCTAATTAGTTAGAGTATGGCTAAGGAAGGGAGCAAGCCTCTTCCTCGCTATTCAAGCATGCTCACCAGACAGCAGCAGTTCATTTCAACACAATGCCATAGCTGAGGGATGACAGTCCTCTCCAAACCACCGGCAGCCCTGCCCAGCAAACCGCTGCCATCCCTGTTCGAAGACTTTAGCATCATCATTGAGTGTTCTCCACCCACTTTGGCTCTGCTCAGCTTCTGGAAGTTGCGGTGATCACGGACAAAACTGATGATTGTGGTTTGTTATAAAATGCAGTGACATACAACAAAAGCAAAATCAGAGGGAGGAGGGAGCAGGAGAGCGGAGAAAAAAAGGGATTATGTATATTCCTAATTCTCCTTAGGCATACCTGCTGCCATCAATGATGAACATTTGTTCTGGGAAGAGCTGCTACCAGTGGAACGCTTAGCATATGAACACTAACCTAATTCCTGTTGGAAATAAACCAATTTCCACTCTCTCCCTACTAGAGGAGTATTTCAACCTAATAATAAAATCTCCACTGTAGCATGTCAGACCAGCAGCTCTCTGGTAGCAGGCTGGAATTTTAAGTCTTAACGCTGCAATATCAGCTGTAATGAATTCTACGTAAACATGACTTCTAAAAATAAAAAGCCTTTTTCCTCCCTTAAAACCATGTATGGAGGAGAGTTTAAAAGAAAAGGAAATGAGGTCTAGCCTCTCACTGCTGTCAGTAATGAGGATCCTTCTGAAACAGTTTAACTATTCCCACCCAGTGCAACCCAAATAAAAATATTTTACTTGCATTATTCAGCTCAGCTTTACGTTACCATTCAACATGGGCCACCACAATAAAAACTATAACTGCTTAAAGAAAACAAGTGAAGAATATGAGAAAAGGAAAAGTGGGATGAACAGACAGAACAGAGTCAAATCCTGAACCGTCCTAAAATTCCACCAGCCTCACACGGTGAATTCCACTGAATACTAAGACCTGGACAAGAAAATGTTTTTTCCACAGGCAAAACAGATTCATTAAAGAGTTTTGTATTATAATCTATAACAAAAAAGTATAGCTACTTATTCTGTTATCAGTAACTTGTGAGCATTCATCAGATCTCGTTCATTTTTACTTGCTTAATCACACACTGAAATACTCAGGAAGTTGGCTTCCAATGTCCTTCTTTATCTGAAGGTTTACCTTCAATAAAGGGGGTTTTTTGATTACTTCATGAGCAGTAATCAAAATAAACCAATCATTATCAAATGTTATTTAGAAAAATAACAGTGACACTGAAAAACGTCTGGATCTAAATGTAAATACAAAGAAAAAAGCACCCATTGAAAGGTACACACAGACTTTCCAAAAAGCATTACGCACAGAGGTCAGAGTTCCTGAGCAACGTCAGCTCCAACAACCAGAGACGTTGCTGCCCATCGCTCCTGAAGAACCAGTTCCCTTTCTACATTTTATTTATATATGTACATCCACACACGCCATCACGCACGTGTGATGCGTGATGCAAAAGCGCTGCACGGTGATGACCCATCTGAAAGAAAACACACTCACTGCATTGTCAGCTCTATTGCAATGCCCTCTGCCCTCTCTGCACGCTCTGTTCAGCTTCAGCTTACCTCCCTGACAAATAAAGGAAAGCACTTTATGAAACCAATTTAATTGGGAGGTGACAGAAAACATACAGCCGTTTTCTTCAGCCTTATCACTGAACTGGCTTCAGCTCCCATCTCTGCCAAATCCCACTCAGCAGAAGACATTAACCAGGTCAGCGGAACAGGTGCTGCGCGGTGTCTGGCAAGGGGCTGGCATCCCCACAATTACTCGCACACAATGAAGCAGTAATCTTTACAGATCATCTCTCCCAAGAAGCATATTGGGGACGGGAGGAGAGGAGAAGGGTGGAAGGGAAGGAGGAAGGGAGGGAGAGAGGGAGAGAAGGATAAAAAAAAAAACAACAAACAACAAGCAAGAGAGGAAAATGAATGTGTAGCTGCCTCGCGGCTCAGCAGATGTCTGTGCGTGATGTACGAGGCTGGGATAAGCTGTCGGAGCCCGCTGCCAAGGAGTGGTAAGTGATTAAAGCCTCCACCAGGCTAAGCACCATATTTAGAGTCTATGGGGTTTCGAAAGTTGCACCCATTCCTTGCTGTGCTGCCAGATGTTGTTGGCTGATCCCGCTCCTATCCACCGTGCGCGGGAGGCAGCAGTTGGTACAGCAAGGAATGCAATCTGGACCGCTTCCGGAGGTGCCGTACATTAAACCGGTGTCACCCATCCTTCACCTCTGCCGAATGCTGAAACAACTCCAATTTGCTGCCACTTCCCTCTTGGGAAATGGCCAAGATACAGTTGTGCCTGGCAGACCCATTTGTTTTACTCAGGTGATTCTCTTCCCTCAATGACCTCTATTAGTTTAAGTTTTAATTTAGATTAACCCCAGCACCCCAATTAACCAGTGAGGGGAAAAGCTAAGCTGTGACTAGTCATATTTCTGAAATCACGATTTATCGAAGTTAAAGTTATTAGAAGGGAAGATGGGCCATTCATCTATTGCTATTTTTCTTTTAAAAATTTAACATTTCATGGCCAATGAGCACTTTGTCTGCACAGGTCCCCAGACTGTTGATCACAGCTATTTCTCCTTGACCACTTCACAATTTTGTCATACTGACTTGGTTTCTTCTGTGTTCTTAGGGTCCACTTGGCCCCTAAAGCTGGGCTTCTGGTCCACTTGGACCTCAAATTCCAACTCAGCATTATCTCAATGCCTTACAGATTTGGCCTCTCCAACCACTGCTGCCAACAACGGCACTCTCTGACAACCAGTTTAGAGCCTGGCATCTTCACCTGCCCCAGAGGTGCTGCTCAATTCACAGTAACACTAGCAGAGATGCTCTTACAATAAATACGCAGCCTGGAGAGGAGCTAGCTTGGAATACATTCCTGTCTCTGAGGCAGGCTGCCTGGAATAGATCCCTCACAAACATTAAATATTCAAATTGTCCTAATTCTGTGCTAGGTGAGGTCTATCTACTGCAAAACTTTTCTTGGACATCTACAGCAGTAGGGTTGGAAGTGTGTTGAAAATCTTCTAGGAGGAGAAAAAAAGGCAGCATTAAAGTCCTCTGTATTTCCTATCGACAAAACACAGATAAGAATTACCAATCTAATACATCTTTTTATTTATCTTTAGTCCTGGCTCTGTACACGAAACCCCAAATTCTGAAACTATTCAAATGCTTCTGGTTAAATCAGTTATCAGAGCACAGTCACATGGCAACAGCTCTCTTCCTCTGCCCTAACACTTTACTAGCAACTCTAACGATTATTTAGATCGGAAATTTCCGCCTTTCTAATGATATGATATTTGTTTAGTCCTGAAGTTAAAGCTCTCTGTGCAGCATCAGAGCAAAACTAGTTTTTTGTGCACTGGGGAAGGACTTACAGTGGATCATACTCCTCAATATATGGCAATTTCAGTATTTCATAAAGCTGGCACCGTCATTTATTAAATAAATTACAAACACAGGGTTTCCCTAAGCTGCAGCCTCCATGCATTTGGTGCAGATTACTCGTTTCTAAGAATTTTGCAAACAAAAAGAACAACTGGCCTAAATCCAAGCTGGCACAACTCCAAGAAAAGTGCTAGAGAAGCCCTGCAGCTTTTTCATTCTGTAGGTAGATGAGATGATTTAGGCTGGGATGAGAGTAACTTAGGTGCTTTGAGGATCTACTAGAACTGTTTTTCGTAACAGCACTCTACCCAGAGAGAAGTCACCTTTAGAGAATTCAGTATTTTTTCTCTGTGTAGCATTGTTCACCAGAGGGAACTCCAGGCACAGACCTTATCCTGCAGCCCTGCCTCACTCACACAGCCCTGTACCCAAAGTTGAGAGTGAAATCCTTGGAGGTATCTACAGAGATTTCAGATCTTAAAACAGATAAATGAGTTTCACTGGTCAGAGAAATTTAGAGCACAGAACCCACCGCATTAGCTCTCTAAGTATTAAAAATCAACTGGGGCAATAATTCCAACACAGATTTACCATCACCTACCTGGTGATAAAAGTCATCATCATCGAATATCTCCTCATCTATGTCCTTCAGGTGCCTGTTGGAATCTGACTGAGGGAGGACTTCCTAGAAGCACAAAGGAAATACTGAAAGCTCATATATGCATGTTTCTGTCCCTAACTCTGATGACATCACGTGCAGCAGCTTGTAAACACACTTGAAGATAGGAAGGAATGGAGAAAAGCTCCCTACATAACAAGCTTTTACGGACTAGGAATACATTTAAAGGCAAGGCAGAAATGCTGCCAATGCCAAAACAGATTTATGATACCTTTACTGGGAAATAAATAGGACTATGCAAAGTCTTTCTGGCAAAACACTACAGATATTTTTAATGTAATGGCAAAAATACATCTTGCAAGTGCAGTAATTCTATGCTGATCTCTCAGAATTGAGTATTTATTCATTCTTAAACACTAAATTAATAACAGACTTACTACTAACATATTCTGTAGGTTACATGCAGTATGATTTTAGAAGTGACTTTCTGGGTTAAAGATTCTAAACTCTAGAGTAAAACCAAAGTTTTGTAGCCGCTACCTCAAAAAGCAGATTTAGTGAGCATCAGTGCCTACAGCACGGGAGGGGCACAATCACAGACCAAACCTTGTTTTCCCCTGTCAAGAACTGGCACAGGAGATAACGCAAACACCATAAAACTGGAATTGAAATGTCTACATCTTTTTCTTAGCCATTACATTACAGGAATCAAGGCTCAGATATTTCCTTCATAAATCTCTCACAAACCAGAATATTACCTGCTAAAGGCTCCAGCTAATTGTTTCGCAGGGAGTTTCACTGCTTCTACAGGATGAGTTAGAAAAACAAAATACCCTTACCGAATTTTCAGGCAAAGCTTCAGGGACTGGATGAGATTCCTGCTCCTTCTTTCCCAGCACTGTATACACTGATCGCTTGGTCTGTGTCCGCCGTAGTAATCTCTCTTTGTCCATCAGAATATGATCAATCTGAGTCAAGATTGAACGCTCAAAGGCACCGAAACCCTGCAACAACATTAACTAGTGTCAGATAATGCAGAAAGCTTTTCCTCAAGGCAGCAATGTTCCTCTATCTTTCCATGTCAGTGGATAAGCAGACAGCATTCCAAGAGGAGGGGGTTTAGGTTTCATTGCAGGGATTTTTGCTAGGATTTGTTATTTGTTTCTCTCTCTCCCTCCCTTCCCAACCTGAGGCAAACTGACGCCTAGCCTAATAAAATGCCTTTGCTGTTCTGGTTCAGATGAACTTCTCAATGATTAATACTATCTCACAGATGTCAGGAGACCCTGAATCTTTGGGTGAAATGATTACCCATTGTATTAAAAGTGTACACTCATGGAGGAGGAGAGCCACGGAAGCCCCTAGTTCTGTTATAACAGACAAACGGCTTGTTGATCTGCAATAGTGGCATTTTCACAGGGCTTTCTTGCTGCTGGGGACTGGCTATGATGGGATGTCTGGTTGGGAGAACACCAATACTATCCAAGAGTTGTTCGCAAAACTTGGGAAACCATTTGGCGCTGAAAATTTTTTTCCTGCCCATCTGCTCAAAACAAAAGAGAGCAGCTTATGCCTTTCAAATTTGAGGGCTAAGATTCTTTCCAAACTCCTTTAAGGTCGGGGAAAACTGAGTACCTGTGTATTTCATTCTTACTGCTGTAACTCTCAGCTTCACTTGCAACATCCACGATACGAAACTTTCAAATCAGCTTGTCCCACAAGTCTCTGCTAAACGATCAGCATGTCAGCACACACAAACAAAGACGTGCCTTTCCCATTTTGCCAGATGCCAGCTTTGTCTTCTCATGCCACTTCTGCAAGACATTGTTCCGATAGGGCCTGAAGTCAGCATACCGCTTGGCTATGAACTCTGGGTAGTCCTCCATCTTCAGCTTTCTTTTGGGGAGGCTCCTCCTCTTCTCCTGAGACTTATCCACTTGCTCTTCGTCACTACTGCTAGGGATTTCATCATCACTAGAACAAAAATACACAGACTAAACACCCTACATCTTTCTGAAGCAACAAGTGTGACTTCTCAACCGCCCCTCCACTACCACCCGTGCTTTTTCCATGATGCTTGTGCCAAAAGACCCATGGTTTAGCCCCTCCTCCATTATCAGAAAGATTACAAAACAGAGTTCCACACTGGCAGAAGAAAGGAATTCAAATGGTCTTTTGTCCAGAGTGTCTGTCACCCAGATACAGCTGCAACTGAGAGGACAGCAGAGAGTGGGTATGGTCAGGAAGGCTGAGCGTTGTCCATTGTCCATTGTTGGAGACCAAAGGATTCAGAAAGATCTTGTCTTATTTTGTATTTACCTCTCAGTTTTTGATTGCTTTCCATCCACCAGATGCCTCGTGCCCGGGTACTGATAAAGCAGCTCATCCTGAAGGTCCACTAATACTTCCAGCAGTGCCTCCAGGGCTTTAAAACCTGCAGAACAAGAGACACAAGTGACAATTTCCCGCTGATCCTTGCTTCTACTGAAGACTTAGCCCTGCAGTGCTTAGTTCCTCATTTTGAATCTGAATTTCTGCCACAGCTACTGCACGTCCCATTAACTGTTTTTCTCTAATCAGTTAGAGACATGGTTTTATCTTCAAACTGATATACTGATACCACCACGCTGGGAAAGAACACTTCTTTCCTAAAAAGGGAGGAAGGGAGGAAAGGTTGCCTTCTAAACATCTGCCTGGCTGCACATGGGGAGTATACCGATCTAACGTTTCATCGACAAACATTCCGACCGCAGAGCCTACAGGATTCACACACTGAAGAAGCAAGTACTGCGCGCACAAGTGTCTGATGACACACGTAAATGACAACAACCTTTTTGGCTGACTAACTCATTTCTCTCTGCTACGTTCTGAAGCAGAGGCCAGCTTCAGTTGAATAATAGGAAGCAACACAAGAGAAAATGTATACATGGACATCCCGTCTAAACTCGACCTCCGACTTTTCCGTCTTGTACATAACGTGCACGTTACAGGGAGCAGAAGGAGGGAAGGCAAGAAGAAAAAACAAACTCCTGCAGGGCTGTGACTACTGCTGGTTTCTACGCCGCTGTGCTCACCACGTAGGAGGTATAAGAAATTAGATTGTAAGTAAAATTAAATGTAGCAAGATCTGATCTATGGGGGAAGCTTAAACAATGACCTGGCAAGTTTAATGAGAGGATTCTGATCAGAAAAGCAGAAGGGCAGGCCCAGAGATTCTTAGAAAGAGCAGAAGTGAAGAAAAGATTAGAGTGGAGAGGTGTCGAAAATGATCACCACATGGTGTGAAGGTTAGCTTTACAGGGATGAGTAGTTGCTTTCCAGGGTATTTGCAGACACAAATCCTGAATGTAGATCTGATGCTGTATCTGATCCAACAGCTTTCATAGCTGACAACTTGCCTGTATCTACACGGATGCAGAGAAAACAATCTCTGTTCCAATGATCTTAGGTTCTCCAAGGACACACAGTTGCAGCTGACTGTGGGAAGGGTTAACTGCACACTGTTGCAGCATCTGCTCTTTAAAATAGTTCTTCTGTGGCAACCAACAAGCCTCCCTGCAGAACGCTCTGATAGAAAACAAGCGTTTGCCCAGGCCTACACAAACCCTCCCTTTGCACATTGCTACGCATCGATCACAGGGTCAGCTCTTCCAGGTAAAACACTTGGCACGCTTCTATCCAAAATCCTTAGCTGAACTTTAGGCAGATTAATTTATATTTACCTGACACTGGTGTATCGCCTTCTACTTTTGCGAAGAGGCACCACAGAAAGGGGAAAAAATGCACGGCTTGGAGGAACGGAGCCCACCACTTCAGGATCCGTTTTCTTGCTGGATACATTCAGACAGGCTCAGCTTCCCTCCCCATGCACCCAGAACCAGAATCCTCACGGGCACCAGTAACCAGGCTGACAGACCGGGTGGATCTGTCCGGAGGGCAGGAGGAGCACCGCGGTGGTGGGACGTTCCCCCTGGTACCTCCTCGACCAGTGTCTCCCCTGACATGAAGTCAGTGGAGCTGTTTTGCTTAACTCCCAAACCTGTTTCTTTCTTTGAGTTACCACAACAGAACGAAGGGAACTTTTCACCACTCGCTTTTTAATTTTTTTTCTTTTTTTTTTTTTTTAATGGAGGACACAGAGATCAGGGGTGGGGTGAACAGCAAATCTTCCTCAGCCAGACAGAGTCAGTGCAAGCAGAAATCAGCCCAGACATTCAGAGGTCTCAATCTCCCGCGTGTTACCACCGTGATATTGCTCAGTTGTCACCATCTTCAGATAAATTACGGCCTGACCTCAGTAACAGGAATGTCAAGGAGAAGATGCTTTAAGACTTCTGTTGCAGATCAGCTGTTGGGCTCATCCTCCCCCAGCCCGTGGTTCATTATAGACACATTCTGACAGCTCTGCTGTATAAACCTATTAACGGATTAGGTTTGCCACACTTGTAAAACAGTCGTGCGTTAGCATCAAAACAATTCCAAGAGACAAACAGACAAAAGCCCTTAAAAATGCATTTGCTCTATGTGTCTGCAGCTAAAGCATCACTTGCAAAAGGAAAGTGCCCCCACCCTAGCCTGAATGCACGGCTTACAGCAGCAAAACCTTTCCCACTGCCTGCAACACTGCTAAATGTCCCCAGAGCTTCCGAAACTGTTTATTTTCTACCCGCTGCCTGTCCTCCAGCAGCAGGGCTAATGCACCCCAGGCGGCTTTGATCCTGCCAATTACAACTGGAGTAGCACTCCAGCTCTTCTGGGGTATATCAGGGCCACGGCGAGCAGGCAAGGAATAAAGACGGGCTCAGGCTCCCCCAGGCTATGAGATACGGACCCCAACACAAGTGGGGAGGGGGAGCAATTTTATTTGGAGTGAAGGAGATGGATAGGGCAGGGAAGACAATGACCGTGTGTCTAACCAGGTGGGAGGGCTAATTATTCCAGACAGTGGCTTCATCACGAGCCTCTTACCGCTGGGTAATTTCCGTGCTTCCAGTTCTTGTGTATTTAATAGCATTATTGGATGGCATTCTCATTGTTACTGTTGGGTGCTTAAGTGTGCTGTAAACTCAACTCCAGAAGCCAAGTGTCACCCTCCCCTGCCCTGTTCCCATCCAGCCCTGCCCTATCCATTTCACGTTTAATTCCAGAGGGGACTGTTTTCTTCCCAGTCTCCTCTCCCTCTTCATCTTCTCTTCTCCCTAATGCCCTCATTGGCTTTACACCGTCTGCTTTGGGGAAAAGACTGGATCCATTTAGGAACGAAGCGTAAAACGAAACTATTTCATAGATGTAAACTATGTCATTTTGAAGGAAAGCCGGACGCTAACTCCTCTGCTCTCCTGCCCCCTCCCAGTACATTTTTTTAATGCTGCTCCTTGTCTGAAATAGACAATTAAATAGAATAAAGTCACAAACATGGAGCTTTCAAGCACGCCAGTACGTTACGGCAACCAACCAGCAGCTTTCACATGTGATAACCATCAGGTTTGTACCTCCTGCTCCCTTCCCTGCTCTGTTCACAGAACAAAGCCAGCAGTCCCTGGAAGAGCACACGCAATGCTGGCCCTGACCACATAGCACAAGCCTCCCACTGCCACCAACTGTGTTAGGTCCTAGGCAGTCCCTGACCATTTTCAGTTTCTAAAGCTTTTAGGATGAAGAAGATATCAACACCATGGTTTTCACAAGCACCACAACCCGGCTGGGGCTGAAAAAGTGCTGTGAAAGCTCTACGATTACCTTCCCACCACTCATTCACCAGCAGGCAGATCCTGATGCCAACGGCTTATTCCCAGAGCTGTTACACTAACTCTGCTGTCAGTGCAGCTTCTGGGTGTTGCTCCACTGTGTTCAGCCAACGAGGAGATGCTTAAACGTCCCCCAGCTGCCCCTTCCCGGCCCCGGGCACCGGGCAGTGCCCAGGGACTGCAGGCACAGCGCTGCGGAAGCAACTGTTAAGTTGCAGTATGTAAAACTCTGCGCCCCAACCTTGCAGGCACAGCCTATCGCCCCAGTTAACCCCAGTATGCCAGCAGCTTTGCTGCATCTCTCTGACAATCTGCACTGCAACATGCTGGTGTAAATATTCTACGTTATATCAGTGTCACAACTCACACCTTTAACATTGGGCCACACATCCTTAGTGAGAAAAATCTCAAAACCATCTCCTTTTCCAGGAGTTACTTTTGCACGTTCAACCTGTGTTTTTTGAGGACAGGTGGCTCAGTATGGCCTTAAAAACAAAAGGAGCTGGATCCCTTTGCGGGATTTCAACATGAGCAACTGAAATCCCCCAAACAACAACCCATACTCTGTGTGTAGGAGAGGCCAACTAACCCCAGGACAACACGTAACGCCTACTTCCACCAAATCCTTTCTAAAGCTGCCCTTTGGGAAAGAGAAAAGGATGCTGAGTGGGATCCATCTGCAGCTGCTCCAGGAACTCAGCAAACGTGGTCTGAATATAACTTCCAGCTTAAATGGGACTCAGAGTGTCTGTGGTGAGCCACTAACTTGTAAGAGTCACATTTAAGAGTCCGTGGGAGCCCCTTCATTTTGTGTACAGGGGTGAAAAAGTTGTTCCAGATCCAGCAGACAGCCTATCAATCCACCAGGAAAGCTGGGAGCCAGTATCAGTAAATCAAAGCGTGCCTTCCTGTTAATACTCTCTCATACGTTCTGCTTTTATACATCCCCTCACCCAGTCTGAAAGTAGCCCTGGAGTATTTAGCTCCGTTCAGGGATAGCACTGCCATGTATCAAAGTGTCAGGAGACCCACCAGAGATGAAATCTGTCCTACTGCTCTCAAACCACAAAAATCAATTTTTGTCAATGCCAGTGGTACGGACAAACGGGCTGTGCTGCTGGCAGCCCTCCCAGGTGTCCCCCCCCCAGCCCTCTCTGCACACGGGGGTGGCTGTGCCACTGCTGATGCCCAAACCCAAGCGCTGCCGTGCCAGGGACGCGGCTTCTGTGCTCACCCATCGCTGGAAGCTCAGCATTCCTACAGCACGGCAGCTTCCTGCGTGGAAAAATATCTGCACTCTTTTTCAGGACCTCTAAAAATGGGGTCTCGTTGCATCTTCCCGGAGCAGCTGCAGAGAGCGGCAGCTGGTGCGGAGCAGCAGGGAGCCGCCTCACGTGGAGACGCTTTAAGCCGATGGAAAAGAGCCGGTGCCCAAGGCCAGGCTTCCAGAGGTGTTCAGAGAGCCAACCGGTGGGATTCCCAAAACTGCTCCACCAGGTGCGCTCCTCCCCGCCTGACCCCAGCGCATCCATCCAGCGGATTCGGAGTACGGGGCGGAATCCTAAAAATGGGGATGGAACTCCCGGGGTTTTCACTCCACCGCTGTCCGTACGTGGCACCTCGCAGGGCGGACAGGCACCGCTGCGGCGGTGCCGCCCCAGGAACGGTGCCCGCCGCCGCTGTGTAC